GAGCCCAGTACCTCATGGATCGTCGACCAAAAATTCCCAGTAAAGCATAGGTCTCTGTCAGAGACAATTGACTCAGGGAGTCCATGTTGTCGAAAGACACGATCCACAAACAGCGTCGCTGACCGCCACAGTCGATAACGTCCGGCACCGCCGCAAGATGAGTCATCTTGCTCAATCGGTCGACAAAGACCACCATTCCCGTGTTGCCCGCCGAGTCCATCGGCAGGCCAAACACAAAGTCCATACGTATGGACTCACCCGGAGGGTACCAGTTTTTTTGGCCAGCGGCGCCGCCGTAGTTGGAGAGGGTGTCACCCTCTGGCACGTCTCACACTTGCGTACATACAAACTCGTTCACTTGTACAGACTGAACCACTAATAGTGGCAACTCACCGAAGTGTACGTCTAACACGACCGAGATGACCACTTAGTGGGGTGTCGTGGGCCTCATAGAAAATATATATCATGAGTTACCACAATTCGTGGCGTATCCGTTAAATTGGTGCTATAATACAGCAACCCGTTACTCAAAGAATATCGGTGTAATCGTGCGCGCAAAAGCCCCGAAAATTTCTTGTTCGAGATTTTAAACTCCTTGCTCCCGAGAGCCTGTAGCTCATAACCTGGTCTGCGTGACCACGCATCAGCCAAAGCATTTCGCTTCCTGGCTTATACTCCACCTCGAAGTTATAATCTGCAAAGAATGAGAGCCATCTGGCCATCCTCTGCAAAATGTGTGGCGACTGAGTCTCAGTGCGCAGTGATGCATGATCTGTGCCGATCACAAACGCCTTGGAGCTGAGCAGCTGCACCCTGAATTTGACAAGTGTATACTTCATCGCAAGTATTTCCTTGTCAAGATCGAATAATTCTTCTCTCCAGCCTCCAGCTGGCGAGATTCGAGTGGACCACCCGATCACACTCCTCAGCGTCTGCTTGCAGCAGTGCACAGCCGATGGCAAAGACCGAAGCGTCAGATACGACACTGATAGGACGATCGGGGTCTGGCAACTTCAGATAAGTGCATGGAGGAGGCTGTCTTTGACCCCGTCGAAAGCCTTCTGATTCTCGGTGTCCCAACACCATTCCGTATCTGTCTTGATGAGATTCGACAATGGGCGCCATCTGCATGATTCTCGCTGTACTTGTGCAAGCAGTTGGCGAGGCCAGGTCGCTTGCGCTAGTCTTTTTCGTTCTTTGGAGCCCTGCGCATGCACTCGAGCACCGCTCTCAAACGGACGATGTGGTTTTTCTGATCTGTCCTCTTGTGCCCCGCACGATTGTGAACGAAGATGTCGTCGAAGTATGTTTGTGCAAACGCCCTGTGGGGCCCAAACAACTGCATCACAAGACGATTAAATGTTGCTGAGCACTTGGGGTGTTACCAGCCACTCCCAGAGCATCCCGCTCGGAGTGCACACCGCTGTCAGCGGAATAGTACTCGCTCTCATGAGCAATTGGTAATATCCATCGACCGAGTCGAGTGCGCTATACTTTGTACATCCAACCATGTTGTTCTGGGGAGTTCTTCCAAGGACTCGACTTATTAGTCGGAATAGCGGCAACGTTTAGCTTATTGTAAGCGTGAACGAAACGCCATTTTCCGTTCGGTTTTCGGAAACAAAACTTGGGAATTAAATGAAGACTTGCTCTCACGCACCATTCCTGCGTCTTGCTTCGCATGGAAGAAGGCGTCATGATGTCATACTGCCCCTTGGGCAGGGACCATTCGCGTGTTACGCAGTATTTGGCTCCCGGAACCAGGTCGATTTCATGACGCACAGAGGTAGAAGCAACGACTGGTCGTTGGAGACGACGTCTTAAGTTTTCTTTTCCAAATGATAGTACGGAGCCGAGGAATCCTTTAGGATCGATGGCCCACTTTGCGCGTTTAGCACCCTCTTGGTGTTCTCCAAGACAGTTATATCCAGAAGAGGCGACAAGTGAATCTCCTCGTTCTGTCATATAATGACTTCCTCGGCTAAAAACTTGCCTTCGAGGCACCGCCAAACTCTTCAAAGGAGATCTCACCCAGCTCAAGAAGAGCACCCATCGCGAGAATAGCCTCGAGGATGACGTCGCCGTCTTTCTCTCCCGGCATACGGTTGATAAGGGTGTATAGATGCGCGCTATCGTCTACGATAGTCACACCCTGGGTCAAGATCAGTGGGAACACGCACACAGCACCGTCCAGTGTTCTCACTCCTTGCTCCATCAGAGCCTTGATGTTATTAAAAACATCCGACGAAGAGCTGCTATTTCTGCAGTAGATTGCGTGCCACTCCACGCGCATCACAAGGACCTCGCCCTTGATGCCTCGGACTTCGTCCGACTATGTCGCTCTGGGCATTCGGCATCTGCTTCGAAACGTGAGCAGTGCTCAGGGGATTACGTGCCACACCACGCGCATCACTAGGGCCTTGCCCAAGACACCTCGGACCTCATCCGACCATGCCACTCCTGGGATGCAGCGACTGCTCCGATATTTGAGCAGTGCTCAGTGGGTTACGTGCCACTCCACGTTTAGCCCGCGAGCCATGCTCGGGACACCTGCCCGATACACTTTCGGTGTTCACAAACCCGGGTACTCCGATCTTCAGGAAGCTGGCCGTCTTGGCCCAGTGCCAACGTCAATAGCGTTTTTGTCTTCTAACATAGGTGGGTTCATGACTCACCAAAGCCCCACCAGGAGACATATACGTATCGCCAAAGGCCTTCGACCTCCAATCAATCCATGGCTCATGGTGTCTAATCATGACATTCCAAGGATGAGGTCATACCTTGAATCCAAGTCTAATACTAAACAGCGTTCCACGCTATCAAAGCCAACAAACTTGACACCGAGGCTCACAGGGATCTTCGGCACCGTGACACATGTCCCCATCGCTAAGCAAATGGGGATGATGTCACCTAACCCGCTATCAGGGCCTTAGTATCCAGCTGACTTTCTTCCATCGTGGGGCGTCGAGCATACACTCCGGAGTCGATCAGGTTCCATGACTTCTCAAAGAACTTCACGGTCGCTTTCACGACTAGCAAGCCCAGCTTGCATACACGTTCCGTGTTCAAGAGCACGGAGCTCTTAGGGGCTGGGCCCTGCTGACAACTATCTCCTTATCGCTCAATAAACTCTGTTCTCTCCCAGCAGGCCACCCCGTGCCTACAGGGTGTTGTCTTCTCCCCGCGGCAGACAAGAAGACTTGTACGAAGCGGGATGTCGGTTCGATGGAACTCGACCCGCCTTGCGCAGGGGACAACCAATCCAAAGGTGACGAATATCTCTACAGACAAAACACAGTCGGGTATTCGAACGCTGCTCGGCAGCTCGTTGCTCTGCCATCTTGTCCTCAGCATAGCTGAGACCCATCGGCTCAGGCCCGCTCGACGAGCAGTTAGAGTGTTCATTCCAACCAAGTAGTGCCGACTTAAAGTTGAATTCGCACTCATTGCCACTTTCACTGCTTATTTAAGAGAAGACGGGTGCACACGGAATATTTCTATTCTGGCCACGCCAGGGCAGAGGGCCTCGATAAAGCTGGACTGTGACCGCCTCGGCGGCAGCCACACCGGCAATGAGAGTACGCAAATGTTAAACAGCTCAACCAATATTTTCTTTCCTTGTTGTGTTGGGCGGCAAGGAAACGCGACTACACGCGATGTGCGGTGATGACACTCGTAAAGCCGCAGCTTCAGCTCCGTCCATGAGGGAAACGCCGCTCCGACCGAAGTGCCGCACGTCAGTGCCCATTCTCGGGCTCGACCCCCCGAGCTTAAAGATAGCTAGCCCCACGCGCTGTTGTTTGTTCTAAAGCACGGCGGACGCCATGAGAATCTCAACCTCTCTCACCCAAAGCTGAAGATTTTTTCCATCCTTGCCCTCGAAGGTCTTAGCACTCACCACGAGCGGCTTGGGTCGGGGGAGTCATCCGTCGTCGACAGTGGCGTCATGGACGCAGTCGACGCCGACATCTTCTGCTGTGGGTACTCTAACAGAGCTTTGATTAGCTTGTAGGCGCTTGTAGGCGCGCGTTGACCATTTCAGATCCTTGCGAAGCGACGTGTTGCACGCCCTCAGGGCCAAGCAGAGATATCAGCATTCTAAGCCCGTTTTGCATGCTCTGGGAAAAATAAGAGAGCTGCTTCATCCTCACAGAGGGTCAGTCGTAACGACTTAGATGTAGATTGAATACGAAGGCTATCAAGTGCAGCGGAGCTGCCGTAGCTCTTTTGCGTAGAGGAAGCTTGGTTCATGTCGGTGACCTTCGTTCTATATTAGAACCAGTACGAGCGTAGCATATCGCCAAAATCTCTCCACGACTGCTTGTTGCGGGTAATAATAAAAACCTCTGGCTTGACGGTAAGTTACAGTCGTGTGTTGTCGTCTCTTTTGTCAGGAACGGTGGAGAACCGATGCAACTGGGTGTCACAGTCCTCCGTGTCGGGGCCGTGGAGCTGAAGGTCAGAAGTCAGTCGCGACTAAAAGGATACACATGGCCCTACAGGTTCTATTTATTCTTTGTCGAAACAATATCGTAATGACGAGAGATCCCGACGCGTGATACTGTACATTTTCTGAGTCCCCGACCTGGTTGGTGGGAGTATTATCAATTGCGGATGAGAGATTGCTATATCTTTCTCGCTGCGACGAGTACTTGCAATTGAAACCAGATTTGGAAATTACATCGAACGCTTGTAAGAGGCACTCGATTATATGCCTCCAAATGCATTATTTGCGATGTTTGGTTGGTTGTGTCTTATGACGTCGACAGTTTTCTTTTATAGATTGCTTTGTTGGGATGCAGAGCCTGCGGGTAGATTTCACATAGATATGAAAAAGCCCCGTAGCTTGGCCAGCACCTCAGTCCCAAAGAGCAAGACGAAATGGTTTGGCCGGGCGAAGTGCTTGCACAAGTAAAGTGCAGCTATGTCGACATTTCGCAATTCCGACGAATCTCTTGAAAAAAGGTATATTGTGTTGGGGGGGGGGG